TCTCCAATTCTTCGTCCTGCTCGCTCCCCCTGTCTTCTGTACTCTTGCCTATTGGAACTGCCACCATCGACAGCCCTTCTACGCCCTTCTCCTAGAACGTCGTCCCGCGCCCACTAACACAGAGCCTCGAACCCGCCGCCGCACGCGCGACCACACGGCCAAAACACCCAGCAAGCATGGTACTCCCTGTATGTCGGTCAGGCAAATACCCCGGTAAAACGCTACTAAGTGCACGAAAAACCGAAAAAAAAGAACGGCGAATGTTCGAGTGCGTTGGATGGTCCGTTAACTCACCGGCCGCTTAACCCCGGGTACGAGTCAACCCCAGGTCTATCCTTTCACGGTCACGTGGTAGATGTAACCCGGTGGGTGCAACCGGAGAGGATTTGGTCCAAGGAACCGAGAATCGTCGACTTTTCAGATGATTACATTGACGAGCACCGCCCGGCCGACTTCGATAGCAAACGCGTACAGTGGTCCGACGAGGACGGCGAGAGGGCCGCGGATCCGATCGAGACGAACGACAACGACTATCTAGAAGAGATGCCGAGGAAACGGGTCAGAATCCGCGTCCCTGTCGTCAGGAAGTACGGGAGACAGCACACGCTGACCGTCGTCAGGCGCAGGCCTATTAGGACTCAGGATCCTCAATCGGTTAGTCATACACCGAGGAGGATCGTCGTCACCAGGGTCAGAACCCTGGGACTGGCTAACTCGATACACTCGGACGAGCCTGAACATTTTAAGCCTGAACCTGGACGCCATAAAGTGACCATCACTAGACGACGAAAGATCGAACCTACGACTATTCTACCGACTACTACTGAAACGAGAGCTAGGATCACTAAGAAGAAGCTGATAGCTGTTAGACCGGTGCAACCGACACCTAGCTTCGCTATCATTACTACCGGATTCTTCACTGCTCCATCGTCCGAGTATGAAGAGGAATATTCGGAAGAAAGTACCGATGAGCCTGAAGACTTTAAGCAAGAGGTTACCACTACTTTCACGCCCGAATTAGAAGAGCCACCTAATGTTATCGATAGTAAGCCCGACGAGGAGACTTCTGTTAGAACAATGGAGACCGCGTCTAAAGTAGTGGAGGAGACCAGTGCGAACGACCCAGTGATCATTACTGATAACTTCTTCTTTCCACCGGGCGATGATGAGGAATATGAAGAGTATGAAGACGGATATGAGACTACGACAACTGAGAGCGCGAAAGAATCGTTAGATGAGGATGTACCGACGACCAAGTCGACGACGGATGACGAGAATGTTGTGTCCAGTAAATACGACGTTGTGACTACTTCTGAGAAACCCGAGAAGGAAATGGTCACGACGGAGGAACCTGACGAGAAATTAGAAACGACAACTGAAGAGGTTTCTAAGGATGATGATAAACCTGACGATGTAGCGACTACTTTGAAGCCCATTGAAGATTCAACAGTGCCGTCGAAAGAAGAAGTCGCGACCACGCAGTCGGATGGCGTTAAAGAAGATTTGCCAGAAGATAGTACTACCACTACTCAACCGGACTTCAGAGATAATGAAGAAGAAGAATATACAACAGTCAAAACGGAAGACACAACAGAGTACGTAGATGAAACGACAACGACCGACATCCCTGATGAACAACTCGAAACAACTACACATCTCGAAGAAGATATCGAAACAACTACTGAAAGAGAAGATGTAGAATTTAACAGGGAATACCCCGAGTCGTCCACGGAGTCTATTGAATCACAAACTGAACCAGAATTCAAAGATTACCCGTCAGAAGACTCTGAAGATTCACACGACAAAGACATCGAATCGCATGTTCATCCTAATCAAACTCAATCCGAAGATTCTCCGTCGAAAGAAATCGAATCTCATGTCACTCTTACCGGAACAAAATTCGTGGAGTCTCCACTGAAAGACACCGAAGACGAAATGGAACCCCACGTATCTTCAACCCCAAATATTCAACCAGATACAGAGAAACCTCTGACACAAGAGGAAGAGAAAGAAACGGAAGAAACGATACCGGAGACTGCAACAAAGCCTCCGGCTAAAGAAGAAGACTTGCCAGTACAGCCGGTGCAACCCCTAACCGAACCCACTCCGTCTTCATCCGACATTTTGTCGGGCACATCATCGTCGATCGATGTTGCGCCCAGTTTCGCCAGTGTGTTGCCTCTCGAGACGCCTCAGCTGTCGTCATCCGACTCCCCGACCCCTAGATACCTAGACGATTCCGAGATACCGAGCGTGATTCCTCTGGGAGCCGACTATACCCAGTCACCGGACCCGGTGAGGGCCTCGGAGGTCCTCGGCGCGACGACGGTGACGACCTCGATCTCGTCACCGACCCCCGAGGACATCGAGGCCGGACTAGCCGACGATTTGTACCTGTCCCTGTCGAGACCGGACTTCCCCCAGATTTTACCCTCGAAACCGAGCACCGTCGAACATCAGACGAGACCCCCGCCCGACTTAGAACCCAGCACGAGCGTTTTCTATACGGAGACTGTAGTGACGTCGACGAGATTGAGGACGTACACGTACGTGGTGACGCAACAGAACGGACTGGAGACGAAAGTGACGTCCTCGACGACGGTCAGACCGAGAGTGACTACACTTACGTTGACGGTGCCCGTCACGGTGACTGTCACTCCTACCGTGGAGTCGTCAGCTGTGCCGTCTGTGTATAGTCCAGTGCCCGATGCTGGTGAGTAGCTATACGGCCGTCTGAGCCATTTCTATGAGGATCCTCGTGTGGTCTGAATGCTCGTTGGGTTTTCGAGACAGTTACGGAATTTCATTGATTGTTTGTTTTTAATTGAGGATCGCTTTATCGGAGGATGCTGGGATTCAGAGCACACGAGGATCGATGTACAAAATAAACTTTAGACTAATATTATCTCCCCTCGAGGTTATCCACTCGAGATTGTACAAATTCTCCTCCAAGTCTCGCTCCGATTGGCTTCTGGCATTCTAAATTCTTCCCTGTGCAACAGAACTCTTCGACGAAGTGTACATACTGTAAATGAAAGATCTTTGTACATACTTGATCGTCTGTTTATTTGGTGTACATTTTGTTTCTTCTCAATCTTTAGTCGAGGATCTTTCGACTGACTCTTTCTGTGTTGCGTAATTTACGGGTGCGATCCTTCGGTGACGTGTACTGTACGGGATTTCTGGATGGCCAAGGTTGATGCTAGACCCGATGATTATATGCAAATTATTATGTAGTTGCCACATATAACAATCTAGGTATTTTGTTGTGAGCGGTATTAGAATGTGAATCGATATTCCCGTCGTTGGATTATATGATCCGTGGACGAAGATTTGAATTGTTAATAGAAAATTATGCATTCGTAAATATTTGTGTGATAGTCAGGGAGAATTTCATCACCTCGTGGTGGATGTTTATGTAAATTGACAGTATTGCGGTAATACTTGAGTTGCTGAAGTTGGGTACGAAAGTATTTTGTTTACCAATGGTATTTCTTCAGACACATACGGAAACAATAAAGTAAATGTTGTTGCATATTTTATACATTCTTCTCCAATTGGTTTCACATACTCGATGACTCCATATCAATCAGATTAATTCATGTAAATGGTACAATCAAAGTAAAAATTAAGCATGAAATAAATTTCAGACATTTTTATTTCTATATTATTCGTCGCAAGTGTGTACACACATAAGTCCTCTATTATGAAATATAAAAAATAAACACTAAGGATACTAAAACTGCTAAACTTTCGGAATATAAATTCAAAAAGATCCATTTATTACAAACCGCCAAATACATATGTGAACATTAAATACAGATAATACAGTTTAAAACAAATTTTCATCGAGTAATGTTAACATTCTCACGCAACAATAAAATCTGGCAGAAACACGAGCCATCAAGAAGTACAGTGCAGTAAGCATCAACAAACTCCTGCGTAGCTGCAACACACGTGCGCACGTGCGTCACGTTGCAGTTAGCCAGGCGTGTTTCGATCGACCCGTAACAAAATTAATTTCTGTACATTGAACTTTCAAATTCTGTTACGGTATTAATAACACGTATACTCTGCGACGCGTTCGTAGGTTTCGAGATTGTACAAATGTTGATATTACAGTTTAGCTAATGTTAGAAAAGGTATCCGAAGTGAGAGCGCGATCATGATGTAATAGCGTGAATTGCAATGACAGGAGATCACGAAGTGAAAGATGAAGAAGGTCGAAGGTTCAACCTAGCGACTCGCGTAATGTCGAACGGCGTCGAGGTGATCGTCGCGGGACCCACGCCGGCGTTGCGATGGGAGAATTCTATACCGCAGCCCACGCTGACATTGTCTGACGCGGTTGTCATGATGCTTCCTCAAGATAAGCCGAATGAATTTGTCACGAAGACATGCACCACCACGTTCACGTACCTCACCACGATTACCAAGGACGGGACAACTACTGTTTCGACGGAACAACAGGTGAGGCGTTAACGTATTGTCGCCATTAACGATAAAAAGCAAGGAGCACAAGTCTTGCTTGACGGTACGTGTTGAATCGGAGCCATTGGATCAAGTGTGAGATAACGTGAAGCAACATTACAGTCGAAATATTTGAATACATTGACACTGTAAGCAGACTGTTGTTGTTATCCCGTAAAGAAATTAGAACGATGCTCCTCTCATTTGATTTTCATTATCTTATTTGACAGAGTTTAGACACTTTCGATTGAAAATCATGGTGTGCTTGAAATCATTCTTATTGTTAATATTATATTTATACTGTATATTTGATATATCTACTGTTTCGAGAGAATTAGAAGATAAATTGAAAATTTACATCTTTCAACGGATTTAACGTTTAGTTCCTCCTTTTCAAAGTTTCTTGTTTGCCTCGATTACTTTAACACGTTGAACGCCGCATTATTTCATAAAGCAGAATATTCGAAATGGAAAAAATATAACATTAAATCATTTGATTGAATTACATTGTTAGTATTGCAAGTTCAATTAGCTAAATGCCATCACGTTAACTAGCATTATTTATAATATGGAAAAGTTTTCAAATAATCATCGTTTAATTGAATGAACTATAGTAATTCCATTTGGTTGGGGGTCACCGGTGACTCCCGTGGCATTTAACGTGTTAAGGAGCCAGATTATTATCAAAATGTAATCAAATCCGTAATTGCTATGATCAACTCCAAGTTAAGAAATAAACCTGAATGCCAAGGTCGCGTTTGATTGTTAATAAAATTCTGTTGCGCGAAGGTCGTGGCAAATACTGCAACAGAGGAACGCCACCGGAAACCAGGATCGGAAACAGCTGCTGTAACGCTGGAAGCATCGCCAACCCTGCGAACGGAAGTCTTCAAAACGACGTACACGTATTTAACTCTGAATACCGATCATCCGAATGTAAACGACGCGTTAGAGAGCAGCTCCAAAGTGATCGCAAATACAGTAACCGCTCCGCAGCATTATTTAGACATGATCTTGGAACCTTCGGAAATACCCACACCGGAAACGAACACGTACCTTAGTACCAGAATGCTGGAGAGGACGTTCATGGAGGATGGACGGACGAGGATCGAAACTACTAGTGATACTGTTACTCAGGTTAGTATGTGACACTTGAAAATTTGCATTTTTGAGAAATTAAGTATTATGGTGAATCTGTTATATTTGAATTAATTATTGCAATTGATTTATTTCGTTATATATTAAATAATAATGGCATTGTACAGTTTCATTCAAAGGATACTGTGATGCTACAATTTAAATATATAGAAATTGATTAATTCAATTAAATCAAATATCGCCAACATGAAATGTTTGAGATATACTTAACACTAGATCTATCCGTGGCATTCAAAATGACTGGATTTTCTTATTTCGCAATTGTTGATCATTTAAAAGCATAGATTATTCGAAATGATTTCGAAAGAAAATAGTTTCACTCGAATACTATAACGAATACCCGAAGAAACTGAAAATAATCTGTTATTACAATTTTTGTAGAGATTACATATTAATCGTATTAAATGCTCGGTATTTTTAGTGTTAATACAGCGTTTAAAAGTTGACATAGTTTATAAGGAAAATGAATGTTTTATATTTACGTAATCTTATTTAAAGTTAACGAGACATATGTTGAAGTGTTAATTGCCGATATGTCGTTATTCAGCTTATAATAACAGAGTCCGCGCCACCGCCGCGCCCGACAAGTGTTACGACCACACTAACAGCGCTAGATCACACGGAGGAAAACATGACTGATGCAATGAAGACTTATTATATTACCTATACTTATTACAATACGTTCCTGGAGAAAGGTAGCACTGTGGTTCGCACGAACGTGGCAACGTCCACCGATGTCGTCCTGGAGAAAGTGCCAGTGAAGAAGACGACAAAGACCGCATTGGTTAACCCGACCCCGGAACCTATTCAAATCTTCGCCACGAAGACGTACCTGACGACTTTTACGTATTTCACGACGCTGCTGCAGGTAACTTATTATTTAAAATTATATAAAAGTTCACAAAGTCAGCCTTAGAAAAAGACGTTTAGCATTTTAAGCTCAAAATTCTGTTATTTCTTCCTCTTATCATTTTATATGCATTACACTCTTTACCTACATCTCATTCTTCCATATGTTGCTATTAAATTAACTTTGAACTTGTTATTTTTACTATTTTACAATTAGAATTGTAATTTGTGCAAATTCCAAATAAAATTGTTAGGTTCAATTGATCAGTTTCGTTTAATAATTCTAATTTATTTGTGTAAAGGCTGGAGCAGACGGAGAAACATCCACCACAGTATCGTCACGCTCGCACATCGTTGAGAATGTTGTCACAGAGTCGATAGCGCCTAGTTTGTTGGATGCTGGTTACATGAACGCTTTGCTGACAACTGCTCATCATTCTGATCCAGTGAAGAACGTGGTGACAGGGTCAACGATTATTTTCTTTGATGAGGAGGATCAGATCGATCCGACCACCACGAATTTCCCAGAATCAACCCCTACGATTGAACTTCAAAAAGACGAAATTATTTCTGCAAGTTTGGTAGCGACCGAGCCGTCTTCTGTTGTCGGTGAACCAAAACCTGTCGCGCATATTAATCAAGTAATTTCATATAATATCGAAACATTAAATATTTCAATTAACACGTTCAGTGCTACGTGTACCACGTGTGGTACACGTCAATTTCTGTAAGAAAATATTTTTAAGAGACACATATCAAAATATATAAAACTGACCAAAAAATTGAATATAATTTAATATTTAAAAACTCAATACAGTCCATAAGCAAACCGTAACCGAAATTTCCGTGGCACGGAACGTGTTAAATATTCTTTTGCTTAAATTAATACACTCAGATATGCTCGACAATATAAAGTTTGGTTTTGCAATATATAATTAATTAGAAAGATCATTTATTTGCATAAATCATTATTGAATCCTAAATTACGATATAAATTATAGGAAAATAATGTTACAACATCGGCTTCCGGAGAAAACAATCAGAATAAAAGGCCAACAAATCAAAACACAAGTGATCTTCAAGTTAGCAATCTTCTGAGTCTGGGATCGTTAGGGATCAATAGTTTGTCAGCTCTGGGGCCTGTGATTACGGCGATGGCCGGTCTACTACAAGGAAAACCATCGATGACTCGCAGAAATGATACAGTACCACAAGCAGAAGCTCAAGAAGTTACCACACAAAGATCACCGATTTATATACCTGTGGCCGAGTTTGCTGATGGGGATATAGAAACTGCTGAAAGCCAAAATATAGGTAAGGATCAAAATTAAAAATTACACTGACGAAATATAACTGAAAATAAATTATAAGATCATAAATAAATGTTAAAAGTTAATTTAAAAAACTGAATATTCAGAGAGTCGACAGGAAATAACAATTTTGTATAGAAAATAATAAGAGTATACTTAATTTTTCTTTTAGGTACTCACCTTGCAAATCTAAATCACAACTATATAGCAGAAACGCGTCATAAGGTAGCATCCAGCCTGGCAGATGGTATCCCAATCTCGCCAGGAGAAGTGATTACCGCAAACAGCGACATTATAATTGGCAAACCAGGAAAAATGGCGCCTAGACCTCCTCAGACGTATCTGGAAGACGAAGAACACATTGGAATGAAACCGCCCCCGTTACCAGTTCCCAATATTCCGGTCCATCCAGTTCTCGAAGTGTTGGAAAACGATCGAGAGACGTCACAGTCGCAGCAAAGTATTCAAACACACAAAGGACCTCAAATACAAATATATCCTGCGCAGCAAGTTTACGAAGAACACTTGAAGATTCCAGTTTCTATACCGGTGGAAACGAATCCAGCATTGATACCAAAGCAACCTCAAAAATTACATCCAGTACAATCATCACCGCCAAAGAGGATGGGATTGAAGCAGGATGTTTTGGAAAATGATCCTTTATTGAAACCACCCGACAGGCCGAACGTGGAACAGTATGTAAACCCAAATTTGAACTTGAAGGAACCGGAATGGAGTCCTGAAAAATCGAGAAGACCCTGGAGCGCGAAGGATCCTTCGAAGTTCTCCCCACCCCATCCACAATTCGATCAAGTAAGAACTTCTCTCCTCCAAGCAGTTTCAAATTTTGAACATTTTGGAAGTAGAAATTAAACTTTGGAATGTCCTGTCTAATGCTATATGAAAATTGAAATATCGAAAATTACAAAATTTCGAAGTATTTAATATTAACAGTAGCTTAGTGATCAGGAAGCTTAGAACTATAAACCTCTACGGTTCGGAAATGTTAAGATTTAAAAATTTTGAAATCTGAATGCAATTTAAATTTTGATATTAAAAGAATGATGAAAAACGAAATATTCATATACCTAAAGATAAAAAATCATAAAATTCTAATGTAATTTAGTATAATTAATTAAATCACAAAAATTCAACAGAAAATGGATTCAGCAAAACCACTAATAGAAAAACAATGGCCAACGGTTCCATCTGAAGAGCAGAAGCGACCACCATGGGCGCAGAAGGATCCTCTGTTACCTGGTTCCCCTATTGTCATTCAAAGTTCGGAGTCTAAACCAACACCATCAGAGCCTATCGTCCATCAAGTGCCTCACGTCATCGACAGATCAACAGGACAGCCATTACTGGTCAACATCCAGCCCAGTCAGGTTGCTAACGTCGTGATTCCTCAAGGTGGTACTCAAGCCTTGATATTCGGCGACACCAGCGAGCCTCACATAAGTGGGCAATACTTCGACGATCCTTCACCTTATCCAGAGTCTGAAGTCGGTTTAGGATTCATTGGAATGCAAAGAGTAAGATTTTTCACTAAACGTTAAAATGCTGAAATTATTAAATTATTACCACATACGATGTATAAATAATCAAACTTTTTTATGCACAGGTGGAAGATTTGCAAAAATACTCGAACGGAAATGATCCTGCAGACTACATGGTCCCACCATCTCCACCCCTAAATTTCAGAGCTCCGGAAAAACCAGGTTCTCCAAGTCGACCATCCAGCATTCCCCTATCGCCAGATCGATTCAATTACGAAAGACCACAGGACAAATTAGAATCCCCTAATCTCAGACCCGTGAAGACGTCCGTTGACGTACACTTGATCAGACACCCTAATAGTTCCAATGTCCTCGGAGGTCAAGGTCATGTTCACACAGAGTTGCACCATAGACCGGAGAATATAAATCTTCGTCCTCATGGTTTACCGCATCCTCCGAACCACCTTCATCTGCCACCTAGAGGACAATTCCCAAAGATTCAGAAGCCTGGCGAGCCTGGCAATCCGCCTAGAAGGATTGAAGTGTCGAATCCTTCGGACAATTCTCATCGCTATATTTTATTACCTAAACCAGACTCAGGGAACGAGATTTTGTTGAATACGAACTGGAAAGATAAGAAGCCACCTAGAATTCTGGTAAACAATAGATTAAGACCGCGGCCGCCATTATGGTCCACGACGAATCGTCCCCTGGATAGACCGATCTATGTGGAGAGGCCAAATATCAGGAAGCCTGTTTATACTGGACCCCAGAGACCTCCACTTAAGACGCAAAATACTAATACGTTTGTGCTTCCTCATCGACCGATCACGAGTCCTCAAATTCATCACGAGCCTCCAAGGATAACTACTACTATACCGAATAATGGAGGGAACGAAGGAACAACTGAAAGACAGCCTGCGTTTGGACCTCCTCAGGTGAGTTTAGATATTATGACGTCTGAAGTATTTTAAATACAGAATCTTTATATCTTGTCGAACATTAATCTTTTAGTAGACGAAGTAAGCTTTTTCCTTGCTCCAGTTTCTTGCATAAAAAACTACGATCTATCGATTACAAGTAAATTTTCCAGAGACACATTTACACTGATGATAACGAATTATTTAATTTCCCCAGATTGACCTCCAAGACAGACCACCTCACTTCTACCCGGAGAATAAAAGGCCACCTCTCATCACGCCAGTCAATCCTCCATCAGAACAAGCCGAAGAACACTTACCAACAGGAGCTGTAGAGTACCACAATCCATCTAATCCGAAAACAAAAGTAGAAGATCCAAAAATAATGATAAACAGTCAGAGCTTTAGCCAGACTCCCTCTGATCCAGATAATGATCCGGACTCCTGGTCAGACTCGCAAACGGAGAAGACGCTAGACTCAGAGACCGGCGCCTCTGAATATGTTAAATATCACAATCAAGTGAAAGTGGTTCAAGAAACCGAGAAGACGAAAGGTGACGAAGTTGCTAATATTCAAACTAATAACATAACTCTGAATGGGAACACGGTACCTGGTAATATCGTGATTGGCAAGCCAGTTGGATTAGATCAGACTCAAAACCAAAAAGAGAAGCCCCTCTGGCTGAGTTCTGGAATGCCATTCAGTCACAAGAACGAAGGCACACCTAACCAAGGAGTGCCTTATGGACCGACATATTACAACACAAGACCAAATGATATGACAATCGTTCAAGGTAAGCCATTTGGAGTCTATAGTGGCCACGAGGATGCATCACAATACGGTCACAAGAGAAAAGAACCTAGACCTGACTACGACATAGTGCAAGGAGTGCCCACAGCTTATTACGGAAACCAGAAGCCAAGTGACAAGCATCATCCAGAGGTACACACGTCTACACCCCGACCCTATGATCGTGACGATACTATAGACTTAAGGCCACCAGCGATCATTCCTCAATTTGTGCCAGAAGTGGACAAGCCGAGCAGGTATCCTAAACCACCCACGATGAACAAAGTCGAAACCAGACCAGCTTTGTATCCTAGACCAGAAACTATAACCCGTCCACCTGAGAAGAAACCTGAAATAAAACAGCCTGCTGAAGCCAAACCTGAATTGTCAGATTCATTTGTAAATACCAGTTCAATTCGCAAGGAAAATAAGAGTCAGTCACATCTAGGTGGCTTCATAAACCTTAATTGGCAAGATGCTACGAAGGTTCTTGATCATCGACTGGGCGAAAAAAGGCCTGCCGCGCAAGAACCTCATTCTAACAAGACTGACACTATCAGAATTAATTTCCGGAATAACACTGTTCCTCAGGAAACCGATGTTCACCCTCAGTTCAATGCAGAAGTAATAAAACCAGCGTTTGACAAGAATCGTCCTAAAGTGACGCATCCAGAATACAATCCGGGGACAAGGATTCATCCTGAGTATCCTCATATTATCACAAAGCACAGGCCTCAAGTGCCAGGACCAATAACAATAACGACAAGCAATTCTAAGCCAGAAAATGGGATGAATATAAGATTCTCGTTACCAGTGGAGGCTATAGGCCAAGAAGTAGACAGTAAGACACAAACTGAAAGACCACCGAGTATGTTGATCACCGTGACCAATCTGAACGACAAGAAGAAGAACGATGAATCTCTAGAGACTGCTTATCAGACTAACTTCGCACTGGCAGGAGTGGACAAAGGAGACTCGATTAAACATGAGACCAAGACTAGAATCAGACCTGTCGAGCCTTCTACTGGAGATGTGTTAAGTATTGAACCAGTGAATGTGCCATCTAGGGACATGATGCCACCGCCTCTAAGACCTGCAGTGCTGAATCAGTCTAATAAGAATGAAGAGGAGGGCTTGAAGCCTCCAACGATTCCTTCGCACGATGTCGTTGGTTTGTCTCCGCCGCCAGTCGATATCACCACGACTAGTAGTCCCACGGAGGATCGGTTCCCATTTGCAACTGCAAACGACTCTGGCCTGAAACCTCCGCCGAAGTACATTCCTTTGAAAGAGGCGCCTGTTGCTCCACTGCCCAGTGTCAGCATGGTTCCACCTAGCCCTAGACCCTCCGTTGCTAGGCCTTTTATCGTGGAACTGCTTTCTCAGGTGAGTAATTAATAGGCCATGAATTGTTTTTATTTATAACATTTCATAATTCATGTTAACCCCTTGCCCTACAATATCGTGTCAGACTCGTGGTGAAGATTTCAAATAGAATTTAACAAACACAAGTATTATTCGATTTTTTTGAATGCAAATTATATATTATTCCTCTGGTATCAATGATTATACCGTAGAACATATGTTAAGATAGAATAAGACTGGAAGTTTCTCTTATTTTCAATAACTTAATAATAACAAAGATCGATCGCAGTTCAGAAAGAAATCATAGGGAAAGGGATTCAAATTATAAAAAAATAAGTATGGAATAATAAAGTACGAGAAAATATTTACGTTATCAGGTATTAATGACCTTACTGTTTCATTTCTGTTATGAGGAATTCTTCAGTTTGTTTTCGTAGCATAATATAGAAAGAGAGAATTTTTATTAAGATAAACAGACTAGTGGTTGATATCATTTTCAGAACCTTTTCTCGAAAAGTTTAGTGTTATCATAAAATAGGTATTAATATTAAATGTTTTTGTCTTGCCAGGATATGGTACCACCACCGCCAGCGACACAAACTACAAGGCCACTCGAAATAGCCACAGTTAGGCCAGCTGTCGCAGTGTCTGGTTCCATTCAAATCGCAACCGCTGTAGCAACATCCCATATACCAGTCATCCACGATATCGAATCGAAAATACCTATCATACATGGGACTGTTGATCTTCCAGTCGTTGTCGACGTACCTGAAATCCTCAGGCCGGTCGAGACCAGGATGACTGAGCATGTTAGCATTTACACTGTTCGACCGTTTGACACCAGACCAGTGTCTAGGTACTGAAAAATGTATACTTTATAAATTACGTTTAATACAAAATACAATAACATGCATAATATTTCTTAAAATAACACAATTGTTCTGAAAAATTATTAACACGTTGAATGCCATGGGGGTCATCGATGACACCCAACCAATGCAATTGAATCAATTGATTTAATTACTTAATTGTGTTGTGTTAATTAAACACGGGACTTTCTATTACTCAGACCACTGCTAAAGAATATACATAAGTGATTTGCTTTTGCCACCAGCATTGTAGTAAATTTATTAATCGAATACAAAGATGTTGATGTGAAATGAAATTTCTAAATATAATATTTCTGTATATAATTATTTTCACAAATAATACAATTCCAGAATATCCATCCAACCAACGCCGATGCTGTCGACGAACGTAGTGGTCCCGACGAAGATGAGGCCACTTCAAGTGGATCACATCCAACCGAGCAGGTCATCGTCCACGACTCGAGAGGTCGTGCCGACCAAGTCGTACACCTTCGACGTACCACGAAATCCAGTGAAGCGGCCCGAGCACCCGGTATTTTTGGAATCCAGCCACGACAATGTCTTGCCGTCGAGCAGAGTGGAGCCGACCGAGTCTTTGACTCCCGCGACCACCACGAGTCAGGAGAAGGATCATCGGTTCACGATGAAGAAAGATGAGAGCACTAAGGTGGTCGTGCCGCAGGCGACAGAAGTGAAACGAAAAAACGAGACGACCGTCGTTGAATTGGCCAGCATAGTGACCAGGGTTGACAGTTCGATAACGAAGGTAACGAGCATGTTGCCGGAGAAACACGGAGGAAGGAACGAGTCGGTGGTCAAGATGACAAAGGACATTACTGGCAGCTCGACACGCGAAGCTGTTAACGGGTCCACTACGACCATGCAGGTGAAACCTAAAGAGGTGAGTTTAGTTTTGAATGCTTTTTAGTTGGTCAGCGTATATTTGTAAACTGTTGAGTTATTACAATAACTTAATAATAAGGTAGAGTGGAGTAAGTGCACCCCAGTTTTTAGTAAGTTTGACTTTCAACCCACATATCTTTAATTTGTTTTACAATACTTTAACATTTATTATAATCACCGAATACTTGAGTTAATACGCTTTAATTAACATTCACAAAAACGCCAATTTCACTTGTATGTTTTAATTTTTTAAGAAAATTGTAAAAAATCCAACAACTGTGCACATTCCCCGAAAATGGGGCATGTGCAAAACCGACCATTAAAACCGATTTGAAGCCTTATATCATATGCTACGAGGCAAGAGTATAACTATTGATATGTTTGCTATAAAATACTTTTTATCGCATTCAAATATGTTGTTTCGTAGTATATAATGTATTTCGTAAGTAGACGTGCTCTTTACATGTGGTGCTTTCGAACTGGTTCGAACTCCACCTTATTATTACGATACATAGTTAGATGAATTGAAGAAGAATAGGAATATAGTAAGTACTAGTGGTATCCTTTATTTCCTTTTGGTTTTTAGATCGCAATTGAAATATAAGTGATAAAATATTTATATATTAATAAATTAATGTATCTCTCATTGGTGTACCTAATATTTTATATTTTCTAATGTACTTTTATGTCTTATTTATGTATAGGTGACAAGGTTCCAAACTTCCACTGTAACCAGAACAGAAACCTCGGTCCTGGGTTCTCCTCCAACAACCAGAACTCTGCTTCTCACTCATACACTGACTTCAACTACGGTTGAAACGGTAACTGAGACCTTGCTGCGCCCAACGAGCGTGATATCTACGATAACATCGACAATTTTACAGTCAATTGTTACTAGAATACCTTCGTCTTACGAAAACGTAGTAGACAACGACTCCATTTTCGTAGTTATGAGTGACCAGAAACCACCCGCGCCTGGAGCTGAAGAGGTAAATGTAAGACATCTTTTAACCGTGACTTGTAGAAATGAATGCAATATTTCTAGAAACGCCAGTGACAAGTTACACGTTTCTATAGGTCGAGGCTGAATACGGTGATATCTCGAGAGATGAACAAGATCCAACCGGAAATGAGATTCACAGAGTCCTGGCTGGCGGAGTTCTAGGAGCACCTGTGGTGTCCCTTCAACCTATTAGCAACCAGTGCACACCTGAATGCAGAGCCTCTAAAGCAGAAATTTGTGCTGAACTCGAGGGTGAAATGAGATGCGTTTGTCGTCCTGGATTTGCGAGAATGTTCCCCGACCGGCCTTGTAAACGTAAGCATGAGATATTTTTCAAGAGCAAGAACAAACTTTGGAAAACATCTATTTAAAATAATCAAGTTTTCATACTTTCCTTACCTCTCTTTTATCGTGAGGAACTTAACGTGTAACAAAATATATCAATATCTTCACAAAACATAATAATATGCTTATTTTGCATATTTTAATGTAGAAGCTATTTTCAAAGATGAGCAAATATTCTTGAGTTTTGACAATTTACTTGCATTTTGGATAGATATTGTTTGAATATTTTTCATGTTTCATTACTTATTCTTTTAGCAACCTATACCTACACCTTAAGAGTAGGCTTAGACCGCATCGGCCACGAACCAGTGAACTACGAATCTAGTATGAACGACACGACATCGGTAGTCTACAGAAGATTGCTAGGTCCAACTAAGGATGCATTAGATAGAACTCTGATGCAGAGTGATTTAAGGGATATATACAGAGGTTTGAAGATTGCTGGTTTCACGCCGGACCCGACGAAGGTAGAATTCCACGTGCAGCTCAGCGATAATGCCAATGAGACGAGGCTAAAAGAAGTCCTTCAGAAGTACTTGATTAGCAGCAACTATAGCTTGGGAGGCACTGAGGTCTACGCCTCGAAGAATCTCGACATGGTGAGCGTTTTAAACCCGTTTCATACGTAGTGATTAACTTCATTTTGCGGCCGATAGTTGCCAAGTTAATAGTATAGTTCCTCCGCCGAGTGTCATATATTTTTTGCCGGGATAATTAGTCGTGGAGCTCACATCCATTAAGGGGGATAAAACAACATTATAATGTTTTATTTTTAAGCCGGGTTTGTGATTCAGAGTTTGAAGGTAATTTTAAGGGGCTTCTCACTTTTTTAAACGAAGATTAAGTTAATTATTCCGTTTTTATTATGAACCGTTGTCTATCTACCTTCATGGAAATCTATTCTGCATAACTTACGTTCTTTCACCTGGATGCAATGGCAATCTATGAGTACTCAATTCTGAAGCTTGTAAGAGATGCTAAAACTTTGGACAACTGAGGAATATTTGAAGAAGTTTTATAAAACTATTATAGAAATTGTTATGGAAAAATACTGAAATTAATCTATCCGACAGTATATGTATTAAAACACAGTAATCAGTTTGAAGTATAAAAGAAAGTTTCAAAAACTTGCAATAGGAATTCATAATAATGTACGCCCATAGTAAAGTGTTCGGTTTATTTTTAAAAACGGTATACATACATAAAAATTAAGGACGAATAGAGCAGTTGCGAGAAAAACCTTGTCTTTGGAGCTATCTGGCGGCGAGTAGATGAAGCACTGCTACAGTTAACACTGTCGATCGATCAGAAAGATCTCATTTCGTTTAACGACAGATTACACTTTTTTTTTAAATAATTGTTAAATCGAATTTTATTAAGACCCACTTTCTTACGGTTTATTTATGAAAAATATAAATCTACATAAACATCTGCAATCTAAATATCTATAAAGAACAGTGTACATTTCTGGTGTTGATAATAACAATACACCTTGAACTCCCTTAAATTTTGTAAATTATTAATGTTTCAGATCGACGCAATCGATTTCGACGAGTGCGTAACAGAGGACGGTGGTCCTCACCACGACTGTTCGCCGAATGCAGCTTGCTTCAACTTACGAGGTTCTTATCAATGTTCCTGTAAAGAGGGCTGGGCTGATCTGTCCGAGAACTCAGCATATCCTGGAAGAGTATGCTCCCAGGCTCCATTAGGTTGTCCAAGCTGCAATAATAAAGGACACTGTGTCACGAACACCAACGGACAAGAAGTTTGCGAATGCTTCCCTTGGCACAGTGGTCAGCGCTGCCAGGTTAATCTCAAAGGTAAGTGCATTCTGCGGATTCGAATATTCAAAAAGTAAGGTAAATAATACTCGATTAAGTTTCGTGGGTAACATGATAAAGTTTCAAATTACTGTAACAAGTATTCGAATATTAATATAAAAATGATACATTCTAACCCCTTGACGTATTATTTACTTTCTCTACTAAGCTCGTGTAACATTTTACTATCGACCATTCGGAAGAAATGCAACACAATTGTCCACTCTACTTCGAGTAGAAATTTCAATTGAAGATAATACACTGATAATAGTAAAATAGTTTCTTGTTTTGATTGATGAGTCTCACTCGTCGTTATATGGCAAGGGGTTAAACAGAAATTCCTTATTTTTCTATTATTTCTGTTTCGATGAATTACAAAGAAAACCACAGAATCTTTCAACCACAATTAAAAATCTTCTGTTCTTACTTTTAAGGGTAAATATCCAAATAGGAGCTTTCAATGCGCGAAGGGTTAAACTGTCCCTATCGCGCAACTCTCGAAATTAGTTTCTAAATATTTCGTTAACTCATATCGTCGACTTCGAGTCATCTTACACATGTTATGCTACCAAAAATTCATGAAGTTAATTACCGGAACAGTGTCCCCAAAGTCGTAACTTAGGCACCCGGCCAGAGACACGCGCAGGAGCTTCGAGCTCCAATTCACTGAGGCATAAATCTTTTTCCAGTGCTACTGATAGCTCTGGTTACGACCGGGGCAATATTACTGGGTCTTCTGGCGGTGTGCGTGGGCATGGCGTGCTTCCGTCACCCCGGCCGAAAACGGCAGGCCGGCGACAGAAGAGCTATGATTCCTGGAACAGGCGGAGACACCAGTAGCGAGGGTAGCGTCACAGATCTGGCGATTCCTCACCACGTGCCTCACGTTCTGCCACCTCCGCCCCAGATGATAGCACCCCTGCCGCCGAACAAGCGACCGGTTCGCAAGATCAGCGGAAAACCTAGGCAACCGCCGAGGAAAGCCACTATGGTTCCTGCTTCAGGTTGGTTTCTCAACATTTTCATTTTATTTATTTATTTCGTTGTTTTCCCACCGGAATAGACAAACAGTATTCTGTCTTTTAAAGTGACGTGAGTAGATTATATATAGGAAAGCCACTACGGTTCCTGCTTCAGGTTGGTTTCTCAACATTTTCATTTTATTTATTTATTTCGTTGTTTTCCCACCGGAATAGACAAACAGTATTCTGTCTTTTAAAGTGATGTGAGTAGATTATATATAGGAAAGCCACTACGGTTCCTGCTTCAGGTTGGTTTCTCAACATTTTCATTTTATTTATTTATTTCGTTGTTTTCCCACCGGAATAGGCAATTATTGTTCTGTCTTTTAAAACGGTGTGAGTAGATTATAATAGTTTAACCCTTTGCAGTCAGGATTGGACTAGAAATATTCGACATTCTTCGATGAAATTTGAACATTCCTTGAAACTAACTAATGAGAGAATGTACGTAAACTAGAAAACAAAGCTGTTGTATTTGAATATTTCACGTATCGATGCATTGTATAAAGCATAATGTTATGTGTAAAACTATAATGTTCATAAGTCAAATCTAGTGGTGACTGAGAGTCACCTCTCGAGCGCAAAGGGTTAATACTATATAATTAAAATGAAATACTTAAATTGATAATTGTTTAATACTTAGGGATTTAGACGTGTATATTCACTTATTAATTTTGAATGGATTTATTTAAAGTATTTAGTTGTTTAGAATTTAGAAAATACTTGATAAAATATTGTAGTTTTTTAGTCTGAAGTATACTTATCGAAATCGCAGAAGAATTTTAAATATTGAGTGTACTAGGTGAATGTGTGATTAATTGAATTTATTGATTGATCTGTTACAGTGCCAATTAACGATGAGCAACGGGACCGTTCGCTCACTGTGATGATTCCTCGAGCTAAATATCGATCGGCGCCTCAATCGCCGCAGCACTACAAATCCGGAATGAGCACGTTCTCGACAGAAGAGCACAAACTGCTCAGCTATCTCGATAACGGCACGCACAGCACCGGAAACAGGAAGCAAAGTGTATCCAGTACGAAAGACTGCAAAGAGGCCGACGTGCAGATCATCAGAACACCGGCAACACCTACTGGCGCTCTCGTTAGTGCTGGTTTCCAGGTATCTTTTCATTATCCGTTAATTCAATCGATTACTTCAATCCTGTATTTTCTTAAACAATCATTTTCAAAGACATTGATCTATCTCTTAGTCATAGAATACAAAATAAAATATATAAAATATCTAAATCGCGTTTTAATAACACGATAAAATTTCTAAGCGAGAATAAAATTTCCAAAAATTTCACTTATAAAATATTTGAAATCAAATATTTATTTCAAAGTTCTAATACATTCTCTTCTACAGAAATTTCATTCGTTTTTATACCGAATTATTTCGTTCTCCGAACTCAGGTCTCCGCAACAGTGACACGAACAATATTGTAATCGAGTGATCAAATGTTTAAGTAAACATAAAAGCTTCCAAATCCATCATATAAGTTATTTCATTTCAAATAGAAAATCTTCAATGCTCCAATACATTTTCTTTCACAGAAATTGCGTTTATTTTTATCCTTAATTGTTTCGTTCTCTTTCGAACTCAGGTCTCCGCAACAGTGACTCGAACAATGGACGCCGATTCCACGTTAGCTCGGTCCTGCGGCGAGACTACAGTGGAAGCAGCGACTAAGGTATTGCGAACCGGAGACCTTCCAGGTGATCTTGGTTCGACGTTAGCCCGCTCCTGCGGAGAGACAACCATTCAGGCGCCCACGAAGTTGCTGAGACTCGATTTAGGGGAAGCCGGTTCTACTTTAGCCAGATCCTGCGAGGAGACGACGATCCAGCCGCCGACGAAAGTCGCTGACGCTCGAAGGAGCAGCGTTAAGGATAACAGAGACAACAGAGACACGCGAGACAGCGCCAGCGAAGGGCACACAATGGCTGAGAGGGATCTGGGAAGCACGCTGAGACTTCCTGCGCAGCATCCGCCTCTTTATAGCCCAGATAGGGTGAGTTGCCAATGAAATTCGAGCTTTAAGTACACCGTTTTATAATTCGGAGCACCCTTAGATCTTTGAAAACTAGATAATCTGAGGTTTTCTTGCATTGCAAAATATCGATTGTCACGGATGCATAATATCAGTGAAAAGCAAATTTATAAAATACGTAATGTTCAGAATGTTTCAGATATCCTAGTGCGAATAAAGGGTTTTCGATGAAAAATTGAGTAAAATTTGTAAGATATCTAACTTAAGTTATTTTCATTTTCTGGTAAACAATACTTACTATCTTTTGTAATACTAGAATAGAATCTAATAGAATGAAACAGTTATTAGAATTGAATAGTTTATTTAGTTACGCATAGAATCTTGAGAAAGACGTTCGTATTAAACTGTCGAAGTTTAAACGTGTTAATAATTATTTTTAGAATATTCAACATTTTCTGTTGAAACGGAAAGTATGAAAATCATCGACAAAATCTTGTTTTTAATATAATCGTTGTTCAATGTCCATAGGCCAGCGATCGAGAATCGAACTTCGATTCCCTGTAGGCATCATAGATCTTTGAGAAAGAGAATATCCGGTCGACGGGTTCCAGCCGCGGACGATACCGCTGGACGGTAATCTCCACAGGTTAGCAATACCGTTCATCAAAAATTCGTCGATGCCAGATGGAAGTAGAAAATTTCGGAAATCGAGTCTCCCGACGAAGAGAAACGTGCGAGTCCGTTTATCCTGAACACTGTCGAATGGAATTGCACAAAAAATGCGGACGGAAGGATCGACAAAAATGTGTCCAGTGGGAAGCTTTAATTCGTGTACTTTTCTATTGTATTAAAAAATTATTTATTCAAAGAGAAGCTTCGTACGAAAACGTTTGTTCTTTCTATTAAACGACAGTCTTCAGGATAACCGAAGAACCAAGGGAATGATACAATTAGAAAATCGGAGGAAAATTGTAAGAAGCGCTTTTTATTATTTATTTATATATTCGTTCGTCGAGATTTAGGAGGAAGGGGCTCTTTTTGCCGTCGACGGGATTCTAATCGAGTTCGATCAAACGTGAAGAAGCTCAAACTCAAAGAGACGCGCGCGTTATTTACCCCCGTGCCAAAATACAACCAATGAAAGGGAAGCTCTCGCCTTTCCGAATATCGTTATCACGTTTCACTTGTCGGTTGAGGAAGGCTCGAAACGTTGGTCGACAATTTTCCTTATTAAATAAATACAAAGGCTATTACACTGAAATAACGATATTCTCTAATCATGGAGAATATTTAACCTGCACATTACTCAAGTTTCGCTAGTAATATTAAACAAAACACGAGAAGGAAGGTTATCAAAATTTCATTAGAATTTAGTGATACCGGATAATGTTGTTCATCCGTAACAATACAAATATTCGGTGAATGTATTTTATTAATATAAATAGGAAACCAATGAAACATGTTCATTGAAGCGTATTCATTGAATTTAGAAAATATCCTATAAATATGTTTGTTCTTCTTACAAACGAGTATTTATTTAATATTTTAAATTTGTAAGAATTGAATGTGGTCGTTCAGAAGATGCTTCATGAAGGTATTGTTAATTAAATATGCTTTTAGAGTATGTTTATTTACTGAACTATAGTAGACTACGTTTATAGTAAGCACCTCAGTTTCATAGTGCAAAGGGTTCATTTATATAATCAAATTTCGAGCAAACGTTTCGAGTCTCCGACCGGCCATCACGCGAATCGATGCGTGACTTTAACTTAACCCAGTGTCATAAGTTGTGAACGGCGCCGATCGCCGCGGATTCAATGTTTGCGTGCGATCGATCGCGGAACCAGACATTATTATTATTGTTGTTGTTGTTTGTTTGTTTAGTCTATTCTCTGACGGGTCTCGTCATGTTGCCCGGCTTCGTCGTGAAAAGTTCGTGCGCAACAAATCGACCGAATTCGATCATCGAACCTCCATTCGATCGCGAATCACCTGGAATTTTCATTTTAAATCGAACTACATCACACGATTCGCGGTTTCTAAGAATTCTATACATAAATCGGCTTACATTTAGAAACATTAAAATTCCTTTTCGTGTCATGGTGTTATAATATTTATTTCGATTCTATTTTGGTTACTTTAAATTCTATTTAGAAGGAAAAGCGAGGCATCTGATAGAATCGATCGACCAGATTCAAGCTTTTATTTTTATTCTTTTGATAAATAGGAGACTTAAAAGGGCCATTAATTTGTGTTGCATTAGAACTCTTCGAATTCACGCACGACTAATATGATTTTATAATTTTATTTATAAAAATCCAATGAAACAAAATATTTTCGTTGAAGAAATGGAAAATTAAGATTTGAATCTGGATCCTTCTGCTTAATGAAGTCAATTCACTAACACCGTAGAAGAAACTAATATTAAGATATTGTTGACAGCGAAAGAAAAGGAATGATTCGACGTTAAATGGGAGAACGTGATCGAATTATATAATTATTTAATCGAGACGAAGTCGCGGCAACGTCGCTGTATCAGACTCGAGGAAGAGCGAGCAGGGCGTGTCGTATGAGGCACGCGCAAGTGCATTTAACTCTTTTTTTTTTATTAGCTCAATAGGTAGCGTAAGCGGATGCATTACGGAGGACAGGTGTATCATTAACGATGTTACTTCTATTATTATTAATTTTCGTAAGGCCGCGTTTAACCAAAAGTGAATAGAAACGAAAACGACGATGCTCGTACCTTGTATCGCAAATTACTAACTTGTCCTTTTCACGTCCAAATGAAATTGTTCTTTATACATACATATACACATACGTATAGACATTGATGTTTACATGCATACACTGGAATTACGATGTTTTGTCGGTATGTATGTAAAATTGCTATCTATACATAATAATAAATATATATATATAAAATAAAATATATAAATATATATATATTTATATACGATACACTTATAAATATATTCTGTTGTACATATTCTCTCCTGAAGAACCTCTTCTACTTAATGCTATTGTAATTTTTGTATACTTAGAGCCTGTGTACTTCAGCGTAATTTTAATAAAATGAATAATACAAATGATTCGTTGTCGATCGATTTTCTTACTACAGTTCCTAACGTTCGTATCTTTGGTTGGTATAATATTTCTGCAGTAATAACCACATATCCAAAGTATTAGAATAAATAACTGAACATTTAAATTCAATATGTAAAGTTTACATTAGTAAATATATGTTTTAATACATAGAACAGGTATTGAAATTATCCATGCCACTTTTCAAGTTATCGATAATCCAAAGGTACTATAATCTAGTTTAATTCGCAATCCGAATTTACGTTCAAACATCCACTTCGCCCACCTCAAATCCCCAATATTTCCCAAATCATACATTAACAACAATCAAACTTCCTACCACAAAAATCATCTTCAATAAACACCCACTCCACGACAAACCTACAGACCTACAAACCTACAAGCCTTCAATCCCCAGCAAACAACTTCAATCGACAACTAAAATTTCACGCAGCTTTCCCGCGCGACGAACGCAAGACGAGCCGAAACAAAGAAAAAAGAACCGGCGACTATGTGTGCAAAATTCTGCGCGATTCGACGTGGAACGGGATGGAAGGATAGGAAAGGGGGACAGGTTACGCCGCTGGAACGGGGACAACTTGATTCTCGCGCGTACAAAAACGGTGGACGTGCGCCGGCCCGCGTTTCTCGATTCGTCGCGGCGCGAGGCGCGGCCTGCAACTAAAACGAGCCTAATCCACAAAACAAACCGATCCGTCGGGGCCTCCCTGGCCCGGCCCGCAGACCATTCCGCGGCGACGTTCGTGGCCTGCCGCCCGTTCGTCCCCATACGCGACGAAAGGCCCGATTCGTCGAAGGGCCCCATCCGACGACCGGCAACTGCCGCAAATGACTTTATTTATACCGCCGGCCCTTATTAGGACTCCCCGAGCCATGGCCGTGTAAGGTTGTCGGAAGGTAATTTCGCCGGTATCGGGGCTTCTTTTGTCGGGCCCCTCGGTTTTTGCGCTGCCGTCTCCGCTGAAATTACTCCCGGCGAAGCGTGGTGCAAGTTTTTCGTTCGCGCGGCGTTACGCGGACCCGTTCCCCGCCGGCCACGGCTCGGCGCGACGCAACGCTCGCGATCCGCGCCGATTTCGTTGGAAAACTGAGCGCGATCGGTTCTTCTGCGCGTTCCATGGGGGAGATGGGGTCCCGTGCACCTGGGCGCTGTCTCGCGAATTTCTGCCTGCACGCGGGTAAGGCCGATCGGCGATCTAGCTGCTACCTAATCAGAGGATCGGCTGTTTTACAATGTTGCGAACCAGCGAAGAGTTGTTGCGGTCTGCAACCGATGGCTTGAAATGGGTATGCTCGGGATTGGTCTGGGAAGGAATGTACGCAGAAGTGTTACGAGGTTGATTTGTCGGCTTGGGTTGATGGGAAAGTGATGTTGGATGCCGGTGGAAGTAAGGAGTTGTTGTATGAATTGTTTCTTGATGTTAGCGAGAATTGCAAAGGCACAGTGGAATGCAATCGTTGGAGAGATTGTTGACTTAATTAGTGACCTTGTGAAATTCAATGGTTTGACGGAAGTTTCGTGTCGAATGCAACGGGAAAGGTATATTGAATTCACTTCTCCGAGTGTTATAAATAATGCGTAATAAATAGAAATTAGGAAAATTATGAACTGTAACTGCGCGGAAACGAGTGTAAATATTGTTTTAGTATTTTGATATTTAATCTTCCAGTTTAATTCTAGTCTCTCTACAATTTGAATTTTCTCTACATTCCTGTGTAATCCTGATCCTAGACTTTTTTCAACCCCTCGCCCTATTTTCTTTCCAGTGATCACTCTAACTACTTTCCCATTAATAATTCACTAAATAAACGAGAAAAAACTGTGCATACTCTAGATTTGTGTTCGCGCTAAAGTATAATAACTGATAACAGATGAATTCATTTGAATTCAAGAAAACTAAGTAATATTTATGTTTCTTAAATTTGAAATCTTCATCTCGAGTGTGGCACGATATTACAAGACAAGGGATTAACGGTGCATCTTATAATTTAAAATTATCAGCAAAAAGAGGCATAAATCTAACGGTTTCCGTTGTATAAGACTTAGTCAAAATTCGTTCGGGAAAAAGTCGAGGTCTTTTCTTTCGGAGTGACCGTAGCCATCGTCGGAATGCCGCGCGGTAAAAGTCAAGCGGAAACGGTCCGAGGATTTCGGGTCCGGACGACAGAACGAAGACACAGTGCCCTTTTTTCCCGGAATTGGCAGGCTCGACGCGTTTTTGCGACGTGTTGCGCGCGCTGGAGAAATTGGAACCCCTTGCGTCCTCGTGTTTCTGACCGCGGACCCCCGTCGATTTCTCCGCGCGCCCTTTCTTCCGAGCGCGTAACTTCTCCTCGTCTTTCCCCGGCCGATCGCAGATAAGATTTCATCGATGGAAAATACGAGTAGTCCTCCGAAGGATCCGCGCCGACTCCCTCACCCCTTGGGACGAAAAAGGAGAAAAAAGACGAAAAAGAAATTTGTCCCAGATATCCCAGATATCGGGAGATTCCAATTTGTGTCCGGTGTTGCCCTAAGAATTTTAATTGATGTGAGGTCGCCCGAGCTTTGGCAACCTTTAGTAGTTCGTTCGGTGTCACGGTAATCTATTGGTACGGCGTTAGTGGGAATGTAATGAATTTATGTGCGCTGGAATCGATGGGAGAGAAGGATGAAATAATTACTGTACCTCGTTGAGATTATTGACGGACTGAAGTTGTGTCATGTAGAAGTGATTTCACTGCTGTAAATTGATTCGGAGAACTGTGAACATGTAGGGAGTTTATTGTTAGGAATGTGTATAATTTCAATTATAACAATTATTGATGTATACGGGACAAATCTTGTTAACTTTGTCAATCTGCTTAACTGAAGTTTTGTTAGCTATCATGAAGAAATTCTTCATCCAATGTTTTCACAATCGAATGAACAATTGTTATATTTAAATCTTGTAAATTACAATTTCATTTCTATTATATTATCGCACATAATATAATACCGCTATTATTAATTACTAAAATTAATATCTAAGACTTCCGATATTTTAAAATAACCATGTTCCTTGAATTCTTATATAAAAATTCATATCTACATCATTCACTATCTCTATCAACGTTTGACAACACTTCACAAAGTTTCTCTGCAATAAGTCAAAGGCAAGCTACCTTAAAGTCTCGCAGATAAACGAGCAAAATTGAAATCACATATATACTAAATCAAACGATGTTCTCCCAAGTATTTTATGAATATTCAAAATACCCGTAGAGGCAGTTATAAATTCATAAAACTGCTATCCCACATCTTATATTTCATCGATCTCAGTGATCCCCAAAATGTTCGTCGCAAGCGTCCCAAGCGACAGTCACTAAATCAGAACTCCATCCAATATCGTTCGAGTTCACCTCGAAGAATAAGAATACTAGCCCTCGGACACCAGCACCGTTTCCACGATCACAATGGCGTTACACCGGCCGTTAGCCGGGGTTCCGCCCGAGCGTGTATCGCATGCCATGAAATAAATTGTCCAGAAATTTCAAAGGTCGGCGCTCTTTGTGGGATTAGCCGGGCACCGCGGGCTACCAGTTACAAATCACCAGGTACCAGTTACCAGTTACCACCTATCACGCGCTGCTCGCTGCTCGCCGAGGGCCGCGGATATACGCGGGCCTCCGGAATTATTGCGATCCGGTGCACACCGATGTGAATCCGCGCGAGGATCGTCGAGAGATGCCTATACACACCCGGCCATTGTGCCCGCGCCGCATGGTAGTCTGCATTGTTTGTAAACCAGGCGTGATCGGGGCCCAGAGACGATTTATAACTATCGTTTCGGCGCGGCTTCCCGAGGCCCTGTTCTCGCGCGTCACGAGAACGGACGATCACGAGTGACGCTCGATCGATTGTCGTCATAAAAGTGCCCCCGATCGAGGATGCCAGCGGCGCGGAAACTGTACCAGCTACCGCCTACCTGCGTCCAACAATGCGTCTATGGATTTTTGGAACGCTCCGTGGATTTCTGAAATTTCGATGGGGTTGAATGTCGGCCGAGGAGAGACACGGATCCTTGATCCGGGAAATCGGGGGTAACGAGCGAGGAAAATGAAAGCAGGCGATGGGAGAATGAACAATGTGTTATATGAGTTACTTAGATTATTTTTTAGATAGAACAGATGTTGATGGTTATGTCGTAATCATTGAGTTTGGATGTTGCGATATTTTTGTTCTCGATGGATGTTCAAATGGGATTAAAGTATTTTTGTTACTATTGAGAACATAAGAAAGCTTTTAAAGCTGTCTAGATGCAGAAGGCTCTTTGAAGTCTGAGTGATGGAGTGATGATTGAAAAGTCCTACATTGAAAATCTTTCAGAAAACTATTATATCTATTATTAGTTGTTTTAGTAAAATTATTACAAAGTAGCAATAAAAACGATTTTTTCCTGAAATATTCGCCACATCTACAAACGACGAAGACATCCTGGATTCTCTCTTCAGGCGACCTCATGTAGCTTCATCCGTCAATCATCTCAACAACCTACAGTCTCAAATACCGCCTCCCGTACAGTAAAATCCATTCCATCAACATCTCTATCGATATAAAGTTCCCACCCCATCGATCATCCAACGCAGGAACGTCCGAGGGATTCGATCGATCACTTCGTAAAAACCGCTCCGCGCGCTTCCGCCATCTTGTCGATGGCCGTGTGCACGTTCCGGCGAGACTTTCGCCGATTCGAGCGTGGCAGGCGACGCGTTAATGAAGACATCTCGTCGGTAACACGGCCGGGAGGGAGAAAAAAAAAGGAAAGGTCCCTCTGCCCCCCGGTCCAAGGTTCCAAATCACCCGCACAATGGCCAACTTCGCAGCCATTGTCGGCTGCGGGCCGCGGCTGGATCGGCTTCCCGTATAATGGCAGAGAAACTAGCATT